TGGGCTCCCTGCTCAGCGGAGAGCCTGCTTCTCTTTCTCCCACTCCTCCTGCTTGTGTTCCCTCTCTCGCTGTCTCTGTCAAATAAATAAATAAAATCTTTAAAAAATAAAAAAGTGCGTTCTCTTAAATAGGTTAAACAGTACCTGAATTTTTAGTTACAGTGTATATTTGCTCAGAAAATTACTTCCTTGAGATGATTAGATGTTAGAGCTCAATCCAAGTTCAGTTGAGTGATAGAAATTAGTAGTCCCGGGATGCCTGGGTGGCTCAGTCGTTAAGCATCTGCCTTCGGCTCAGGTCATGATCTCAGGGTCCTGGGATCGAGTCCCACATCGGGCTCCTTGCTCAGTGAGGAGCCTGCTTCTCCCTCTCCCTCTGCTGCTCCCCCTGCTTGTGCTCTCTCTCTCTGACAAATAAATAAAAATCTTAAAAAAAAAAAATTAGTAGTCACCTCCTCTAGGCTTTCCCCAGCATTTTCTTCAAATATCAATTATAAATGTGTTATAATCCATGAAATTTCATAGTGGTTTTTTTCCTGTGATCTCTAAAAATTCCTGAAAGTATCCTTATACTCAGGGCTTAGTACAATGGCTAACATATGGGAGATCTTTAGTAAGAGAAAAAATTATTTAATGAATGCTTTATTTCCCTCCTTATATCATATACTGTATGGTACATTAAAATCCGAATTGGGAAGCCTAGAAATAGTGGAAATTTGATCAAGTCACTGAAGCTGTTTCTCATATCTTCATTTCCTATTTCCAGATCCCCAATTCTGTAAACCATTCCAGTAATTCAACTTGGCAGATAGTTATTTTGCATATTCTCTGAGGAGTAATTTGTTACCTAATTTGCTATTTCACATCCACAGTCTAGCTGGTGCTTCTCATATGACAATGATCCTGATACTGAGAGAACCTTACATCCTTTATTAGTTTCCAAAGACAAAAAAAGATTACTTCTAAATTTCATTGTCTGTAATGATTTTTAAAATAACATCCTAGACCACAGCGTGGGAATAGAAACCACTGTCAGGGACTCCAAAATTTGTATGAATCCCTAAAATATTTTATTTTATTTTATTTATTTTATTTTTTTAGAGAAAGCAAGGTGGGGGGTGCAGAAGGAGAGGGAGAGAGAGAATCAAGCAGGCTCCACACACAGTGCGGAGCTGATGCAGGGCTCAATCTCACAACACAGAGATCGTGACCTGAGCCAAAATCAAGAGTCAGACACTTAACTAACTGAGCCACCCAGATGCCTCTCCCTAAAATATTTTAAATCCATCTTACCTGCTGAATAGTAGAGCTCAAAGAAGACAGGCAATTTCTTAGTCTATTCTTGGGGCTTTATACTTCAAATTTTAGAGAATTCCCATCATAAGGACCTTATAATGATTTGTCTCTACCTATGCTTGGGTCTTTCCCATCTACAAGGTTCTATGATGGACTTACATTAGACTTACATTAGAATTTCTTTGGATTTCTTTTTTTTTAAGATTTTATTTATTTATTTGAGAGAGAGAGAATGAGAGACAGAGAGCACGAGAGGGAAGAGGGTCAGAGGGAGAAGCAGACCCCCTGCCGAGCAGGGATTCCCAATGCGGGACTCGATCCCAGCACTCCAGGATCATGACCTGAGCCGAAGGCAGTCGCTTAACCAACTGAGCCACCCAGGCACCCTTTCTTTGGATTTCTAAGAATCACTTCTATCTCTGATACTATGGTGGAGAAATCCAATGACAGGCAGTGAGGGGACTGGCTGCCATATAAGGCTCAATGACCCTATATGATGATGAAGGAAAAACATCCATTGAGTCAGTATTCTCCAGTATAGATTCAGAGAAGATAACTTCACTGAAATAAGCTGGCTTGTATTATCATGTGGTAATTGTAAACGTGTGACTACGTATAAACGTTCTGATATTAGGAAAAATATAGACCAAGGAAATTTGGCACAAATAGAAATAGTATCTCTCCTGATCTCAATTCACTATTATTATTGAGAACATGAATTAAGTGAAATAAATCCTTGACTCCTCTGTTAACTGTAAGGAATCTTAGAAAAATCTACAACTTTCACGTGGGTAGGAATTAATTTTGTCTGCCTTTCTGGTTACAGTTTTCATAGACTAACAGTATTTCCCATTCCTAGCCTTCAGCAAGGAAGAAAGAACACAGTATGAATTTACATACAGAGAATTATAAGAGCACATTTTTGTGCAATGAAACATGCTTTTACACTTTTTTGTAATTGGAGTACACTATGATTGTTTTATGAAATCCAGTCATGAAATACTTTTGTTATTTAGCTAACTAACCTCTTGAATTTTAACTCTAAAATATATATTTCTAGTTATAATGCTTTTAAAATTAATGCCAAGTGTCTTCAGCTCAAATATTACTGTTTCTAAGGTTGTCCTTGGAAGCTCTTCCTGCCTCATAGTTCCTCAATTTATTCACTCATCCTTTCGTTCGTGTAATCTTTCACTGTGTTCAACCTCTACTAGGCACTGAATTTTTTCCAGGCACTGAGAATACAGCAGAGAAGAGCAACCCTCCCCATTTTAGTGTTAGCCAAAAGTTAGGAAATGAAAGGTATTAGCCAATAAATTAGCTGCCCTAGAGCTTTAGATAAAGCCAAGTAAACCTAAATCAGTGGGTTCTTATTAAACACTTAATGTGCTACGGGGCAAGTCCCCAAGATTATGCCAGTTTAAAAGTTCTGACAAAACTGGGGTAGCTATGGCACCCTCTGCTGTCACTCTGTTCATGTTGTCTCACTGTTTTGCAGAAACCACCAAGCTTCTGAGAAAGGATCCAAGACTTCCATTCCCTGGGAAAACTTGAAACTTCTATTATCCCAGTTTCTAAATCCCATAGACTACAATCCGGGGATCTCTAATACTCTAGAACAGAATAAAGCAAAAAGTATTACATTCCTTTTGTTAAAAACATGAATAAAACGGGGTAGATTTTACCACCAGAAGACAAGGACATTGACATATTCTTAATTATTCATAGTCAAAGTGTAAAACTCGTATTACATAAGGCTGAGAAGGCACTTGCTAGTTTTGCAAGCAAAATCCGTTTTCCCTTCTAGCACATAAAAAAAAGTTTTATTTAATTCCGATCAAGTAAATACAAAGAATTATTTTCCATAATGTCTCTGCTGAGAAATTCTGGCAGTTTAGGGATAAAGTCCTGTCTTTAAGAGATCACATCAGAAAGACCAACATCCATAATCTCCAACCAAAAAAGACAACAAGATCTAGAGCAGGGGTCTGTAAATCTTTTCTGTAAAAGCCCAGACTATATATTTTAGGCTTTGCAGACAGGATGGTCTCTGTCACAATTACTCAACTCTGCCTTTATAGAGTAAAAACAGCCATAGACAATATGCAGATAAATAAGCATGCCTGCATTCCCTAAAACTTTATTTAAAAAAACAGCTAACCAATGTGGCTCACTGGCCTTAGTTTGCCAACCCCTGATCTAAGTAGATCTGTATTCTGAGAAAAGGCAATATTTCTTATTTTTTTTAAGTTCTCATTTCTATTTTATGTCCTATCAAATACTGAAATAAACTTAAGCATGTACCTTAAATAGTAGAAGAGATAAACTTTTCACTTATTATCAGATAATAATAGTAAAGAAGTTCTGATGGAGGATATCCCCATTTCAATGCTTTTTTTTCCTATGTTGATGGGATTTTAATATTTTTCTATATGGTACATCACTATCCTTTGCCTTATATATAGTATAGTGAGTACAATTTAAATTTTTATTATTGTTTTTCTTTAATCTTCCTGAACTATGTACAAAAATATTCTTAGGGGCACTTGAACTCTCCAGGGACACATGCCCTACCTACATCGTTGGCCTCAGTCTGCGGTTTCTTTCCAGTTGTATGTCCATTACCATCACTATCCTATGTATCAGCTATCAATGCCAATGTGTCTCTTTCTACTAATCTCTTTTTCTGTGTCCACACTAACTCTTATCAGAGTTCCATGCATGAAATCTGCTCTCAAACGAAAACTGAATTTGGATTGAAAGACCCAAATAACTTAGCTTCAGGAATTACATAAGAAGTTACCATAAACCCTATTATTAAGTCCCTGGCCCTTTGAAGGAGGGCTACATTCCTCTTCTGGGGTCACAGACTTTATAAAGGCTATTTTCCACAACACTCAAAAGCTTGTTGGCTTGTTTCTTGTGTGTGTTTTTTGTTTTTTGTTTTGTTTTGTGTTTTGGCTAGGTTTCAGAACATTCAGCTTACTAGAAATCTGATTAACAGGTGAATGAGGACTTTTCCTAGTGTACAAATACCTCTTTATTTTGAAGGTATTTGTAAAAACTGATATGAGCATATTCTTTATTGATTTTACTGCTTAAACTTACTTTGTTCCATATCCTGCCATTCTCTCACTAACTTTGTCTAGGATAGTTTAGTGCAAGGATCTCACCCTGTACCATGGAAGAACCATCTAGGGGAGCACTGGAAAATAGCAAGCCCCAGGTCTCTTTTCTAATCATTATGTTTTGGAGACAGAGAACAGGCATTAGTCATTTTTGGTTTTGTTTTGTATTATTTTAAGATTCCCAGGTGATTCTCAAGTTAATCAAAGCCTAGGAACCACTGGATTCCTATATCCACTTTCTTTTAGAAGTCTGTAGAAAGGATAAAATGAGCAGTTTACGCTGATACCTCCTTCTCTTTTGTGGCACAGAAATTTTACACATCATAAATGTGGAATTATCCAAGGACTTTAACTTTCTCTTCTTTGAAGAATGTCCTGCAAGTTTAATTCCACATGACTGCATTTCAAAATATATACTTTTTTGATGACCTCACCATGTGGAAAATGTAGTAAGGCTTTAGCCATCAGTGTTGAGATCTTTTATTCTCTTTTCCTTGGTCAACTCCTGCGTCTTAAATGACTGTTTCTGGTAACTATGAAGCCACGTGAATGCTGCTGTCTTTCTCTTGTTCATAGCACCCGAAGAATGGGCCACAACCCGCTCCAGCCTGAAGGCACCACCACCAAGGTCAGCCCGAGGGGGATACAGGGAGCACCCCTATGGTAGATATTGAAGGTCCTTCTCACCTGTGACCTCACCTCAAAGACAATTCATAGCCTGTGGTCTCCACATAAACAGCAACAAGACAAGTAATAGTCCTTTTTTTTTTTCTATTCTAGGGATAACTGCTCATGATTTCTCCCGTATAGTTCTTGTATTCCCCCTTATACTGTTGGCATGACATTGACACTAGTATTATTTTACAAAACGGACTAAAAAAGACATTGGCAAGCACTGTCTATAAACCATTCAGTAGGATGATATTCTCCTGGTTGTTTTTCATTGTTGTGTGTAACCTTTTTTTTTCTTTCTTTCTTTTTTCTTTTTTCTTTCTTTCTTTTTTTTTTTTTTAAGAAAGAGCATGGATCTGTTAACAGATTTTGAGTCTCAATCAACTAGCAAAAACTTTGTTTAGGGTTGCTAAAAGACTGTAATATGATTTTTGAACTAGCTGATAATAAAGTTGTAGATAAGATGTTTTAACCTGTCTTTTAATATCTGTTAGTTAGATGAAGATGTTCGATATTAAGTTTGTAAATTTAATTTTAAATGCTGTTTTAATGGAGTTGAAAACAAGCAGCTACTGTATGTATGTAGCTAATCTTTTATTCTCTTTTCCTTGGTCACTGGAAAAAACACTGAATTTGTTCAGTGTTTTAACCTGTATTTGTTAAAAAAGAAAAAAACACACATAAAGTTCCATGTGTAAGCTACTCTAAATAGGAAACCACAATTTGTCAAATATGTTTGCCATAATTTGTCAATAAAGCTGAAAACTTTTGTAAAAACTAAATTTGGAATTACTTGTTTTCTAGCTTTAAATGCCTGCTTTATTTCTTCTTCAAGAGATGCCTAAAATGTTTTCTATTTAAAAATTACAAAAATGAACCCAAGCCTGTTTTAAGATATTTGTGTAATACTTAAAAAATGTATTAATAACTTATGGTTGTTAAATAATTTAAAAGTTAACAAACTAAACTGTTACATGAATCATGGTTAGTAAACACTAATGTACAACATGTTAATGGAAAAAAATGGATTTAGAATAATAAATGGATTTTAAACTATCCTCTAAGCTTTATCTTGCTAAACACAAATTCTGATTGACTTGTTTGCATTAGCATGTCTCTCGTGAGAAAGAGTAATGGAGTATAAAGAGGTAAGATTACCACTTACCACTGTCTAAATGCCTAGTTCTTCAACCTTTGAGTTTCCCCGCACATTAAATATCCCATCCAACATGTAAGCATCGCGTAGATTCACTTTATTGTTTTCACTCAAAGGAGTGCGTGGACTTCATTTGCGTAGTTTATAATAATTTGTTTTGACAAACAAATCATCAGTGTCACTGGCCAGTTGTTGCTATTCAACCTCAAAACTTTATTTGTAATTTTCAGTGCTAAATATCACCGCCCTTGAAGGCAGTTTAGAGGGCTGATATTTCTTTTGAGACTATCAGACTTGATGGCTGATGATTATTAAGGAAATATGTCGCAGGACTCAAAGGATGACTAAACGTTAAACAGGTAACACTAATAGTGACTCTGTAATTTTGCCTATGCAACAGTAATGTTAAATATTCTCAGTTATTAAGTTCCTGATAGTTAAAAAAGTAAACCTACAAAAACATAACAAATAGGTCTATAGGTTATTAAAACAACTAATTAACATTAACTAGAGGCACCAAAATTATTTTACAATATATAACCCTCAAGGCAATAAACAGAACTAAAATTAACAATAATAGTAATGCAACTCTTGCTAACATCAAACGTAAGCTAAATTTTGATGGAAAAAGAAAGCGAAAGACTTGATGGTAGGGATGAATGCCAAAACTGCTAATCTTTTAAATACAGTTTTTTTGTTTATGGTGGCTTTTGTCGATGTGATTGGTTTACTTTTTTGCTGCTAACCAGCTTAGGCGTATTGCTGTTCAGTTTTTGCAGCTGGAGTTGCATGCTAATAGTTTTACGAAGTGTGTGTCTGTCATCAATTAAAATTGTAAATGTTTGCCTTGCACACAATGCTGTTGAGTTATATTTAATTTTCTTTTTTTATTCTTTCTCACTATTTCAGGTATCCACAAGCAAAGAGCACATAAGTGAATAGCAGATGTGGTGGGCTAAGAAGGATAGAGGTAAGCTTATTTTTTTTATCCTCTCCGAAATAGATCATCTTTACCAACACAGAGCTGTGGCAGCGAGCTGAAACACCAAATGCCACTTGTTGAGATACTGAAAAGGTTTAGATTGTTGTCAAGGAAGGGAGTTATTTTTATCTTCTTTGAAATGAAGTGACTAACTCAGTATTTACCTAGCAAGGATTTCTGAGCTTATTCAGAAGCTTATCATATGAAACGTGAATTAGTAGTTAATCTGCAGCCTTTTTCTTTGCTATGAATTACTATATATTACCTTTCCCTAATTGTACAAAGGAGGAGTATTCAAACTTTGATTCTGCAGTTTTAGGGAAAGAAATCACAACTGTTGGCGGAGATGGAGGAAGGGCAAAGGGAAGCCCCTAACTAACTGCTTGCCGACCCTTCGTCAGTGAGATATTTATTAACATTGACATTTATTTAGTCGAAGAAAATAACTAAACTTACCATTGTTTTCCCCAGTTATGCCACCGGACTTAGCGATAAACTTCTTGTTTCTCATCTGCCATTCTATTTGATTCAGCAAATATTCACTGAATTCAAAGCATTGTTGAAAATTGAGACTTCATTTCTGTACACAAGGAGTAGAAAACTTGAGCCAGTAAACTTCAGACCGAAAACAATGCAAGGGCAGTTCTGAAGCCCACAGACTAACCTGAAGCTCAGAGAATTGAAACGGCTTTGCCATGACATTTGAAATACGGGTGAAACCCGAAATTTCTCCTTCTGCACCTGGTCCTCTTTCTTTTTACTACACAAACATCGCGTAGCCTTCAATGAGTCCTATAGGAACAGTATGAGAGAGCCTGGAGAGACCTTATGACTAGAGATAGGACAGAAACTGAGGGATCTACGGAATGAGAATAGTCTGTCTGTAGATGAGGAAGAGAGCGCCACCTAGTGAAGGGAATAGGTTGTGTCACTTCACAGAGTTCAAAAAGTTCAGCAAGTGTTTGAGAGGCACGCAGATCAATGGGCCCTGCGGTCCAGCTTCATGAAGGCACAGAGTGGAAGCAAAGCCTGGAGAGGAATGGTCAAGTCAGGTGGCTGTCCTTGAGTGCTATGTCAAATTAATTTTTCAGATTTTATGTGAAAAATAAAAGGAAGCCACTTTAGGTTTGAAGTAAACAATCAGAGCTAAGGCAAGTATCCCAAGGAACCATGGCAATCCACACGTTTAGTCAATTTCGTAATTACTAACTTCATCTGGGAGAACTTTTCTAAAATTCAAGCTGTTAAAGTAACTATCTAAAACTGTGTGAGCTTCAACTAATCAAGCCCCTTTGTCAAGCCACAGAATCAAAGGTCAAAACTTACAAAGAATACAATTTGAAATTTTATTTATCAGTAACATTGCACATCTGATTTGACTCTTTAAAAATGTTACTGTTTTTATAAACCAAGGGGAGAAAGAATCTCTAATCCAGATGTCCTGCATATTATTCTCCTTTGAGCCTTTTCAAACAACAGGCTTGAACTTGTAAAGCAATGAAAGAGAAACCAGTCACTGTTACTATTTTGATATATTAATGAGTATGTTTTTGTGTCCACTGAAATTATTTTATTGTCACTGTTGTTGTTTTATCACACTGTGGCTTCCTCACCAGACTACATCTCTGAATGCATTAAGTCAGGGCGGGGTCTATCACAGCAGAAACAACAGTGCCGAGCAAGAGAAGAGAACATGCTTGGCTACTGAGTTAAAAATTTAAGAGTTTTTAAAGCTCAAAAATAACGATTTATGAGAAAGGGGATTTGAGTTTCAAAAGCCTGGATTTTAAGTAGGCTTTAATTAGGACATCAAGTTTATGTGTTAACAGTAGATTTAAAAGGCTCCAAACAATCAATCAGTCCATGACTCATCCACCTGCCTGCATACATTCTACAAGATAAATACTGCCCATGTGGAGAAGAAAGCTCAAGAGGCAGCAATATCTAAGATATTAGTTTAAGATATTAGCATGGCCTAGAGAATGGGTTCTGTATGCTGTATGAATTATCTGGTAAAAGCCTCAGGTAGGTTTGGAACACAGAAGGGACCTCTGTCTAGAGTAGAGCCTAGGGAGGCAGCAGACTTCACAGAGCTTCCCCACACCTGTGAATCCAGGTGCTATCCTGTAGAAGAACGTTTCTACAGACTGTTCCTCCATGTTGGCAAGAGTGGAGCAGCTGTGGCAGAAGCAAGCATGCGCCCAACTGTCTCAGCAGGAAGGAATGGCAGGGAGCAGTGGCATCAGCATGGACCGGCGCTGAACAGGATGTGGAAAGGCGACAAGATCAGCTGCACTCTGACCAAACTCCAAAACTTAAATCCAACCCCGGGAAAAAGAGATGGGGCAAAAATCAATCCCTGAGTTGACAAAGCAACTCCTGACTCCTGACCAAAATCAATCCCTATTCAGCTGAGATTGTTTTTCTCTAACTGGCAGTCTGGGACCTAAGATTGAAATGAAGTTGAGGGACAGAAAAATATAATTACACATACACTTGCAGCTGTTGATTGCATAACTTTGTCTGACTCCTAAGATAGTCAGAAGGGAATACAGTAGGTTTCTCCGGCAATGGGGAATGAGAGTTTCTCTAAGTTAGTGGCCTTTCAGCAGAAACCTTTGATAGAATGCAAACTGTTCAGAGTGGCCCTAACTAACAGACACTCATTCGCCCCAAGGGTGCCTTCTTCTCTTGTCGGTATCAGACACTGATGCCAGGTCCCAACGTCATCCTGTCATGACATCATGTCTGCTCTCACTAGTTCTGAAGCGCTGGCTCCCAAAGATGGCTGTCAGGAGGCACCTTGCCAGTTAGAACCACTGATACACAAACATCCCCAAGTCTGACTTTCACCTCTACGAGTCCTACAAACGTGCATGGCAAATTAAGGTTTATAAATTACAGTGCATTCCTTGTAACTGCAGTTCGAAGTGATTCCTGTGTTTGTTCCAAGCATCTGTTCAGATAATGCTGTAATTCTTGGTACACTGATGATCCTGCGACAACTGTTGTTCACCAAAATACCAAAGGTAGCTAGCCTGGACACTAAACAAAGTATTTTAAACAGTACTCATAGCATTAATATGTAAGAAAGTCTTTGTGCCTGCTATTTGTCCAATAAAAAGTTTTACTACACGCAAGTATGATTAAATCAGAATCAATCTGATGCCACCTAAGAGACCAAAGAATGCTTTTAGGTCTTATTTGTAATATTTAGATCATTTTCACTTTCAGTATATTAATGGACTGAAGCCATTTAGCTTAATAACAACTGAAGCACTAACAGTTTTTAAATAAATGTGATACAGAATAACATATTAAAGGGTCCCATGAATTCTTCTAAGGGAAATCGTTTTTTTCAAGCTGTATTATTAAGACATTAATCTTGTGCCTTTAGTTCTTCACTTAAAAATAAATAGCCTGGCATTTTGAAAACCACAAATGTCCCTTAAACATGTAACCCTTTAACCATATAGGCTACTCTCATTATCTCTACAGCTCTTGGTTAACATAATATAGAAGTTTGTAGGTTTGTTTATTTTTTTAAGGGAATAGAGAATGGTGATCAGTAATCTGAGTTGGCTGAGCGCCAAGTATCAGTTTCAGTACCAAGAGACCACCTGTTTACAGAAAACTCCATCCACTCGCCACTCTTGCAGGAAGGTTTAATTTTTTACTGCAAAACATTCTGTAGTACACAACTGAAAACACCCAATTGTGTAATTTATAAAATGTATTTATGTTCAGTGTGAGGTTAGAGTATTAATAACAATAATAATAGTGGGGCCATGTGTTTTCTGAGCATACCTTCCAGGCAAGGTACTGTCATTTTCACACAAAAACTTACATGAAACATCTGCAACCCTTAAAGCAAGCTTGCA